GGCGTCGACAAGCCCGATTTGCGAATCCCCTTCGAGGTAGGGCACTCCGCGTACTCTGTCCGTCTACACTGATACTGACGTCCTCAGATCCGGCGAGTTGATCAAGTCCTGCCCAGCGAGTTCATCGGCAAAATATCTGGAATTAAAAATCCCATCGTGGACGCTTTCAGATTTCGCCCTGAAGTTGACGGAGGAAACGACCTGGGATCCACTTCAGAGTTCATCGGGGATTTCATGAAGAACCTTCCCATAGCCCTTGCACGAAACCCTGACGGGGAGCCAGTCGTTCTCATGTTTAACTCGAAGAGGCCTCTTGGCGGACTCTCATCCCTTGGTTTCGAGGGTGTAGAAGGGCTTACTAGTGGAGCCCCTGGCTTGGAAGCTTTCCAAGACTTGGAGGATGGCGATATCCTCGTCTTCCAAGCTCGGGAAAACAAACCATTCCAGGGCGGGTCGACAGCGCTTGGTACGACCAGGAGCCTGATGTATCAGAGCGCCGTATCCAGAGGCCTTCTCCCGCGCGATCTCAGCTTCAAGTTCTTGTGGGTCGTCGACTTCCCCATGTTTACACCCGACAATGCGGCCGATCCGGGACAGGGTGGCCAGGCCGGCTTCTCAGCGACCCACCATCCATTTACCGCGCCACTCACGGATGCCGATGTTGAACTTCTTGCAACAGACCCCATGAAGGCAAGGGGCGACCATTACGATTTGGTTGTCAACGGCGTCGAGCTTGGCGGCGGCAGCCGGCGTATACACATCGCCAAGATGCAAGAGTATGTCATGAGGGAGATCTTGAAGATGACCGACAAGGGTGTTGGCCAGTTCTCTCACCTCCTCGAGGCCCTTCGTGCTGGCTGTCCGCCACACGCAGGCTTCGCTCTCGGCTTCGATCGCCTCGTTGCGATCTTTACCCATACCGATTCTGTCCGCGATGTCATTGCCTTCCCGAAGTCCATGAAGGGCGAGGATCTGACTGTCAAGAGCCCGGGCTTGATCACGAAAGCAGAACTGGAGACATATCACCTCGCCTTCGCTGAGAAGAAGAAGTGAATATCCCCTGTGTATAAAAGTAGGTGTGTGCGTGTGCGAGACTGTCAACCACATTAGGGACGCCAAAGTTCACGTCCGCCATCCTATTTACTGTACTATTGTGTTCTATTCTTGTACTTTATACTGTATACAAAACACACACCACCCTCCAAAATATTAATACTCCCTCCTTTTCAGGGGCCCCGCACCTCACAACCAAACCAAGATGGTTCTTGATAACCTCCCCTTGAAACAATCTGCGGGATCAACCCTGTCAAACATAGTATCAATGGCCTTATAATCCACCAATGGCAGCAAACAGCATGGCCATGCCAGCGCCCAGGACGCTCGCGGCGCTACCAGCAGCGCCGTTGACCTGGACCAAGGGCGAGGTGGGCTTCGCAGCGCCTCCAAAGTTGCCCGTGCCGTAAGCAGCACCGCCGTGGTACGCGGGCTCGCCGTCGTACTTGGGCTCGACGTGGGTGGGCTCGGGCGCCGGATACGCGGGCGCCGCGGCAGATTCATGGCCCTCGGGCGCCTGGTACACGGGCGCCGCGGCGGAAGCATGGCCCTCAGGAGCCGAGTACGCGGGCGCCGGGGCCTCTGGGGCGTAGCCTGGGGCGTAAGTAGGGGCTGGCTGCCATTCGCCGCCGGCGCCGGCGCCGGCCCACTGCGAATGGTAACCCGAGGCACCCACGGCCGAGGCTGCGTCCGACCACTCGGCCGCGTGGGATTCGGCGATGGAGGCGTGCAGCGAGGCATACGACGCTGCGATGGGGTTTGCGGGGATCGACGCCGGGAAGCCCTCGCCGTCGCGCTTGCCCTTGTGCGCTCTCTTCTGGGCCGGCCAGGAGCCGTGGCGCGCCTCCAGGGCGGGCGCCGCGGTGATCACGGGAGGAGCGGCCTCGCGCTCGGCGATGGCGCGTTTGCTGGGGGTTTGTTAGTTGGGACCGGAGATTCAGATGGGTGGATGAACAAGGGGGGTGAACGAGGGATGTGCTTACCACACATCATCTTGTCCTGAGACGGCGCGCGCGCTGGAGTGCGGGTGAGTTTGGGATCTAAACACAGGAGTTATGGATAGGAAGGTGGGCTCTTTCTTACCACACATCGTCTCGTCCAGCGATGGCGCTGGCTGCGGCCAAGCCGGCGAGAGCAGAGATCTTGATGAGATGCATGATTGTGGAGTGAACGAAAGGTGTTTCTTTTGGGGTTGACGAAATCCAAAAGATGTTAATATATATGACAAGAGACTTGAAACGAAAGATGGTATGTGTGTGTGTGTGTGTCTTGTGTGATGGGATGTACTGGAGGAGAATGTCGGATGTGCATGAGCATGGAAGAACGAACGTCATGCTTCTTGGTAGGAAGAGTGCTAGGTTATATATACAGACAGGGTCGGACTAGACATCGGGGAGGTCGGTCGTGGCGAAGATGGATGGGAAGCCATTCTACCCATTGCCGCTGTCACTGCCATAGAGGGGAAGGAGGACAGTAGGTCGGCCGTCTTCGATGGCGCGTTTCTTCTGTCCCCGTCTTTCTGTCAGAGGCGGCTGCCGGACTGGCGCTAGCCAGTGACGTGACGAGAGGCGAGGGGAGACGCCGATGCTATGAGAGTGGGGGGGGGGGGGGGATGCTTGGTGGTGTTGGTCTCGTTGGAGGTCCGGAGAGGAAGAAGAGGCAAAGAAAGGAGACGTTTGATGCTGTGTCGTCAGGTCGACCTACCTAGTTTCTTTTTCCTTTCTCTCCGTGTGGACGATCTAGGCTGATACTTGGATCGTCAGTGGCTTTTATGAGGAAGTATAAGCTTTTGGGGGCCCGCCTGCTGTTGGATTTTTTTTCACTGCCACGTGTGGAGATTTGCTTATTCTCGATGGTTCTTGTCTTGAAAAGGAATGTACAATTCTTGGACCAGGGCGTGTTTGTGGATTGTATGTAAGTGGGTTGAAGTTGCTGTTGGTTGGGTTTCTGGTTACCGGGTACAATAATATCGTTTTTGATACTGCTTGCTAAAGGGCTGCTCTGGTGGGGGTAATGATGAAGCAAGTACGCTTGCTGAGGATTCCTGTTGGGAAGTAAAAGGGGGAGAACGGGTAAACTGTTTTGTCGCCCCTTTCTACGAGCTTGGCCGGGGTAAGGTTCTTCTAGAAAGCTCAGATAGATCCGCTCGTGTAAAGAGCGGGAATGTCACTTGTGCATGGCATCTCATTGCGTGTGTTTAGAGAAATAAAGTTGCTTGCGTCGTTGGTCAGCACTGATTCCTGCTGGTCAAGCTGGTGGCTACGGCATGGACTGGAGGTTTGGATAGAAATCAGTCAGCCATTCAGTGTGCCACACGCTTTACTATTGATGATTTCTTCCTGTCCGTCACCATTTGTTCTCTCAGGTTGGTACAAATATTAAATGCGACAAGGGAGCTTGAAGAAACATGGAAGTGATCGCCGTCAGATTTATTACCGCATGGTAAAAGGTTACGTGGTGTAAGTGGCGTAACAAGGTGAACGCCCCATTCAAGACGGCCACACACCGAATGAAAAGGGGCCAGTTCAGCTCACCATGCGGACAAGTCGGGGGAGAACCCCAGACTCCGACCTTTGGCTAGATCAACAAACGAGTCATTCAACATCTCTTGGTGTTGACGGCTTTGCTTCGCTCTTGTCTCGACATGACGACATCCACCAGAAGCATGTATTGCAGCATTCCAGGGGCTGTCATGGACAATGAGGGAGATCAATTCCTACGCTCTGATGACTACATTGCAAAACCTACTGGGTTTCAGGGGCCTTCCTCCTTTTTTAGTCGTTGGCCGACGCCATGGCTCCTCCTGGATGTCTGGAAGAATAGGAGCCTGAAGATATCAGCAAACAACAATACAAATGCGATATAAAACGGGATGCTTCTACGGTCGCCTCATGTGGTATATTGGCCGTTTGTCTGCAATCATACGGGACGGGACGGTTCCGCCGTCTAGAATATCCCGCCCTCAATGCTCGGCTTTGTTGACGATGACTCTGGTCCGCCCTTGTCCTCAAACTTGGTTGATGATCATTTAGCACGCTAACAAGTGGAAGATCGTTGAATGTCCTGGGGATCAATCTCAATGGTTCTTGGGGGTGTAAATGAGAATTGATGGCCACACCCAACGGCCATCTTCGGCCTCAGCATGTCCACAGCTCGGCCACTTCATCAACTGGCCACCTGCTGACGTTCTCTCGACAGTCAGCCAGCCAGCCAGCCAGCCGCTCCTCCAAAAACTCACAACACGACAAGTTTTGACTCTCGCAGCCATCTCCATTATAGGCACGGCGTGTGCGATCCCAAGTTAACTTCACCGCTTCCCAGCGGATCAGTCGACCACAGGCCCAACAAGTCAGACGGAGACCAGATCAGCCACGAAACCAGTATGTCGAAGGGGAACTGCACCAAGGGATTCCCCAGTGATGTCACGCCGGTGTCTGAGAAATCAGACTGCTGTGAATGCCACAGTCGCTTCTGGTCGTGGCAGCGGATATGCCGGAAATGGTGACTGTGAACCACCTACGACGATGAGGTTAACAGCATCGATTCCGAGGCTGCTGAGAGAGGTGGGCGAAGGACCAGTTCCCAGGGGGGTTGGGATGCATGTAAAAGATGGCGCGAGGAGAGCCGCAACAGGACCGGTCAAGAGCCATACAGATGGACCTGTGAGAATGGCCCAAAGCGTTAACTCCTAGGCAAAGTTGTTTGTTCTCAAAGTCAGTAAATCAACTGAAGGAGTAAAAAGATGGGGAGATCATAAGCTTGTTCACAATATGGCAAATACGGGAGATGGTTTGCCTGGTAACTGATTAACAGGCGGAATACATAGGATGGGCAAACTCCACCTACACAACCAAACAAAAAGAAAAAAAAGAGAAACGAAAGCGAGGGCAACAAAAAGCGAAAGGAAATTTATGTTTGTCATAAAGACAGACAAAAATTAGATGTATCTCTCCCGCCGGGAATTGAACCCGGGTCCCGAGCGAGTATTTGACCTGATTGCTCAGGGACCAATGACAAGCTCATATACTGACCACTATACTACGGAAGAAGTGTGGATGTTGAAATCATCCACCGTAGCTGTTGTTGCTTGGTGAGTGGGCCACAATAGGAGTAGATAGGGTGGCACGGGTGGCTCCGGGCAATGGGGGGCCCAGGTACGACCGTACGGAGCTGTTTCTTCGCTTCCAGGTTGGTCAGCAGCGAGCCGATCCACTCGCCGTTGAACGAGATGGACCACATCCACCCCACTCTAATGGGTCCCGATATGTAAACTCAGCCTTGCTGGACTGGCATGACTGGCTGCAAAGGGGAACAGAAATTGCGACGAAGTCAATGCTAGAGAGTGTTTGGCTTGCCTATCCATCGTCATGCAGTAGTGATTATATGACCCGGGTTGGCTTTACTTCCTGCTATTTCTTGGTAGCGGTTTACGGGTTTTGTTTGTGGCGGAACAGTTGCGGCTTTCCAAGATCGTCGTTTTCGGTCGCCTAAGCACGGTGCGTACGGGCGGACCTTACACATGTACGTAGAAAGGAGGGGAACAAGAAGATTCCCCATCACCGACGCAAATGCAAAACGTCGCAACCTGTCATAACCGTCTAGACCCACATAGATGAGTGGTCGTTTGCTCGTCACTGCCAAGGTATTTCCCCCTTGTGATCTTGGGTCTGATCTGGTCGAAACAGTCTGACTGGAAGAATGACCAATCGTTGCCTGTTTTTTGTTGGTCGTGTGCTTTCAATGCCAGGTACCTGAATAATCGTGAATATCGAAGCAGCACGGGCCAGCTGCCAAAGTGCGGGCGCGGCGGGCTCAGGTCCCGAGCTAAACCCCGTCGGGTCGATCCCGTCACCGTGTGCATCCTTTCATCAGCCTTGCGTGGGGCAACCTGACGATCCGACATTCACCTCTGCCAACACATTGCAAATCGACCGACACCTGGTTCATTTATCTTTAGCCCGCCACCTCCCTGGCAGCCTGTTTTGTTTTCCCTTGCACGCGCGTCACTGTAGAGCACCAGCGGGCTCAGCGGGCTCATCATTTGATCGCTGGGATTCGACAGGCCGCTTCCCCCACCGGTGCACTTTCCTCGACCATCACTTCGCTTCGCTTCGCCTCGCCTTGCCTTGCCTTGCCTTGCTTCGATTGGCTTCGCATCGCCAGCCATGGACGACCGCGAATTGACCTCGCGCGTGAAGGCGCTCAACAAGGCTCTTCAGAGCTCTGAGTCGCCATCGGTCATCGTCACCATCCTGGAGAATCTCAAAAAGGACACTGCGCCGACCGAGGAGCAGCTTCGTGTAGGTCCTCGATTGCGCCGACCGACTCCCTCCCCATAACCCCTCATCGGGTGCCTTGGCCCCTCCCCCGCGCCCTTTTCTGACAATTTTTTGGCAGTCCACCAAGGCCGGCCATACCGTGGGCAAACTTCGATCACACGCCAACAAGGACATTGCGCGCGCTGCCACCGAAATCGTCACCAAATGGAGAAAGCTTGTCGACGCGGCTAAAGAGGCCAAGAAGCGGCGAACCATGGGCGGCTCTTCACAGACGGCATCCCCGGCCCCGCAACCCTCCTCGTACAGCAAGCCGTATGAGGGCGACACCGAGAAACGCCACTTCCGAACCGACAAGGTCGACCTCAGCCGGACCGGCAGTCAGACGAGAGACAATAGTATTGGACTCCTGTACAACGGCCTGGCGTACCGATCTACCATGTCAATTGAGGAGGTGCTGACGCGCGCCATCGAGGTGGAGAATGCCGCCTTCAAGACCTACAAGGGCGAGACCCAAGAGTACCGGAGCAAGCTGCGCAACCTCTTCACGAGTCTCAAGCGCAAGGACAATGCTCGGCTGAGGAACGCGGTCCTGCAGGGCACAATCACGGCTGACAATTTCGTTATCATGACGGACGAGGAGCTGGCCTCGGAGCAGCAGCGAGCCAAGGATATCGAGTTGGAGAAGGAGAACATGAAGAAGGCGCAGGTGCCCATGGCCGAGAAGTCCATTAGCGACGCGCTCAAGTGCGGCAAGTGCGGCAAGAAGGAGGTCGCGTACAGCCAAGCCCAGACGCGCTCTGCTGATGAGCCGATGACGACCTTCTGCGAGTGCACTGCTTGCGGAAACCGCTGGAAGGTAAGTTGCCTACACACCATGCGCAAGAAATACGCCCACCTCATGCTAATGCCCTGCATAGTTCTCGTGATCGCTTCACACGTCTTGCGCAAACTTTTTCTTTCTCTTTACCCTTTCCTTTTTCTCGCCACTGTCCAAGCCGTAGCAGCTCTGGACGGCCAACCTTTAGCCATCTTGGGTTCTCGCAATGCTTTTGCGGGCAGGACGTTTCGGGATTCGGTTGGAAAGCCTCTGTGGTGGGAAGATGCCGGAGCGCAGACTTCCAGCCCAGGGTTCTGTCCGGGATGCTCGTTTGTTGGCGGCGGGAGGGGAAAAAATTGGTTCACGGAGTTTTTTCGTGGGTGGCTTTGCACGGGTTTGATTTGATTTTTCTTTTCCTTTCTATTTGTCAAGTGGGTGCTTTGCATTATACCCGAGCAGCGGAACGGGACTACTAGCCGCATCTTCTGTCTCGGGAGGGTGAACCACACTTGTAGAGCCTAGAGCGCGACCTTGTATCATAAAAGCAAGAGGAGGGGGCTCTTTCTTTTCTCTGCTTCTTGCTTCTTCTTGCACTGGTGTTGGTCTTCTGGCAGGCATGTCGAGGGTCTCGAGGTGTACATGTTGGCGAGGCGCCGTGGCATAAATGTCCAGGATGAAAGGGGGAAACATGTGACGAGGGGGAGACAGACACGGAGGTGACTGGATTTCAGGGCCGGAAATCTGCCTACAATCTATTCGTTACCTCATGATCTTGGGGAGACCCAGCTCTTGTAGCAAATCTTCAGATTCTTCCTTGGCGTCGTTCTCGAGCCCCAAATCCCCCACACGCTTCCAGAACTTGCTCAGATGGCGCGTGCCCGAGTCGCACAGCACCGTCACCACGCGGCTGCCCTTGGGCAAACTCAGGGCGGTGACGACGGCGGCGACGCAGTTGACGGCGCTGCTGCTGCCGATGAAGATGCCGTCGTGCTCGACCAGCCAGCGGGCCATGCGGCAGGCCTGCTCGTCGGTGACGCGCACGGCGTCATCGATCAGGCCGCGGCCGGCCTCGAAGTTCTCGGTGATGCGGTTGATGCCGATGCCCTCGACGATGGTGTCGACCTGCGTGCGGCGGCGCGTGCCCTCGCGCTCCGTCGCCGAGTACATGACGCCGTGCTTGACCTTGTTGTACAGCCCGCTGCCGTGCGGGTCGGCCAGCACCACGCGCAGCCCCGTCATGTGGCGCTCCTCCTTGAGGTACTTGGCCACGCCCGAGATGGTGCCGCCCGTGCCGGCGCCGGCGACCCAGGCGTCCAGCTGCCCGCCCGTCTGCTGGTAGATCTCGGGCCCGGTGGTCTTGAGGTGTGCCTCGAAGTTGGCCGGCGACTCGAACTGGTCGGCGAAGAAGCCGCGGCTGGCGCTGGCGCCCGACGCCGTGTGCTCGCGCGCGCGCGTCCGCGCCAGGTTGACAAAGTGCTCCGGGGAGGTGATGGGGGCCACGGGCACGCGCTCGACGGTGGCGCCCAGGTGGTGCAGCAGGTCCGACTTCTCGGTCGCCTGATCGTCGGGCATGCAGATGTGGGCGCGGTAGCCCCTTGCGCGCGCCAGGGCGGCGATGGAGATGCCCGTGCTGCCGACCGTGCCCTCGTAGATGGTGTCGCCCTGATGGGGCGTCAGCAGGCCCTTGTCCTCGGCGGCCTCGATCATGTTGAGCGCTACGCGGTCCTTGGGGCTGTTGCCAGCGCCGTTGAGGAACTCGGCCTTGGCCAGGATGACGCACCCCGTGGCCTCGGACAGGCTGCGGATGTGCACCAGCGGCGTGTTGCCGATGCAGCCCTCTATGCCCTCGACGATGCCGCGGTCGGCCGCGACGAGGCTGACCGAGTCGTCGTGATCTTCGAGCCGGACGGGCCCGAAGAAGGAGCTGCGCCGCCGGGACTTGGTGGTGGTCGCCGTCGAGCCGGGTCCTGACGATCGCCCCTCGCTGCCGCTTCGGTTGCGGTTCCGCCGCCGCTGGTAGCGCGATTCGAGCTCCGGGTAGAGGTCCTTGAAGCCCAGCGTCACGAGGATGCCCGCGGCGAAAGCGGCCGTCAGCGCGGCGGTGCCGTACGCGCGTGGGTGGTCGCTGAGCGACATTGTCGTTGTGGTTTTGTTTTGTCTTGTCACAAACCGGGAAAGAAAATGCACAAAACAAAATCGGGGAGGGCGTTATATCATTTTCAGACCCTGTTCAAAAGTTTTGCTGGAAACTCTGATGTGTCGAGGGTGGTGTGGTGAGTCTGGTGGACATGTGAGCACCAAAAAAGTTAAGAATTATCCCGAGCCTGTTTGTTTTACAAACTCAATTGAACATTGTTCTCCTTTTTTTTCCTCTGGGGGAATACTCACATGAGTAATGGCACAGTGAGGCTGGACAACGCTTGCCAATGCCCCGTGATGTCATGCAACACGATCCAGCGTGACGGTCTCGAAGTCCATCAGGCGTTCCATCCAACGCCCGGCCTGTTTCGGACCATTCTCGAACAAGCCTGGCGGCCCGAAGATACCTAACTTCAGGTATCTCCCTGTCTGTGTAACTTGCAAGGGGCAAGAACCCCCCGGAAACCTTGGCGGCGGCGGCAGGTCACCAGAAAAGAAGCTCGGGCCACTAACCGGGCAGTTTGGAATTGCATTGCATTGGATGCTGGAGCTTGAGCTTGGCCACCCACCCCCCGTCGTCCACTCCCTCCCTCGCTGGTTCGGACAAGAGAACGAAAGAGAAAATAGAAGCTCTCATCTTCGAGGTCCCCCAATCGCTCATTTCTGGACGATGGACTCTCCAATCGTCACCCAGCTGTTTCGGCAGCTGTTTCGACACCATCCAGCCTGTCAGGCACAATCGCGGAGGAACCTTGCCGCCCTCGCGACTTCGACGTCGACAACCACCACGGCGACAATCCACCATGGCCACCG